AATTAATATAAATTAAATTAAAATTTGTAACATTTCATCCCCCATAGTACTATTCCCCCCCAAGTAATAAGCCAAGTCCCCCCTGTGTCAATTTACTTACCTTTGCTCCGCGCGTTCCTCTGGCCGTGTTCCCGCACCGTTCCGGTCTTCAGGGCGGACTGTGAGAGGAGCCTAGCTCCCCTCACATTCGTCACGCTGCCCCGCCTACACACATCCTGACAGCCAATCACTGGCTATCAGGATGTGAGTGGCAGCGAGACTGGCCAATCATTACATTTGAGCGCGCTGAATGATGCAAATGTTTGCCTGCCCTGGCTGTTTTTTTTTTTGTATCACGCTCCGCGGGCCGGATTAAAAGGTCCGCCGGGCCGTAGTTTGCCCATTCCTGATCTATACCATAGTTTGTAGACGCTATAACTTTCACACAAAGCAATCAATATACACTTATTGGGATTTTGTTTACCAAAAACATGTAGCAGAATACATTTTGGCCTAAATTTATAACCAACTTTGAGTTTACTATATATTTTTTATAGCTGAAAGTAAAAAATATTGTTTTTCTTCAAAATTTTTGGCCTTTTTTTGTTTATAGCCTGAAAAATAAAAAGCGCACAGGTGATCAAATTACACCAAAAGAAAGCTCTATTTGTGTGAAAAAATTGATGTAAATTTTGTTTGGATGCAGCATTGCATGACCCGCGCAATTATCAGTTGAATTAGTGCAGCGCCGAGTAGCAAAAAGAGGCCTGGTTATTAGGGGGGGTAAATCCTCAGGAGCTCAAGTGGTTAATTAGCAGTTCTATATTAGTCTCTGCTGAACTTTCCAAGGTGGTTTAACAAAGTGTTTACCTTGTTTACTTAGTTTCTGATCTGGAAATAATTCTGGTGCTTGCTGTGTTTCTGCCTCCCAAAAAAATGAATATTTTTGTGTGACAGTGTGCTAACAATGGAATAGTTAACCTGGTGGTCTCTGAGAATGTATCAGTTGTTTAGTTGTATGTCTGGAGGTTCTTTGTGAACACTGGAAACTTTCTGTCTCATTTGTTTGAGAAGGTATTCTAAGCAGAAATTAGAATGACATGTAGTAATTCAGGCACCTTCTACTGAATACATGTATGAAGCACAGATTGACTTGTATAACACATGTCCATTAGAAAAACACTGAATTATTTCTCTCTTATAGACTGTAGGATGATGTGAAAACCATGCAGGCTTGTACAGGCATGGGCAGCACTATCCTTAGCTGCTGTATACACATATATACTCCATGACACCTTTCACAACCATTTACATGGCTATAGATGATTTTTTTTTTTGACTGGCGCTAAAAAAAAGATTTTTGACTGAAGCTATAAATGATTTTTTTGCCTGGAGTTAAAATATTTTTTTTTTGCTGGAGCTAAATGATTTTTTGACTGTTCTGCCTCTCCAATCTAAGTACTGAGTAAGTACTAACTACTAAGTACTAAGTACAGTTGCAAGAAAAAGTATGTGAACCCCTTGGGATTACGTGGAGTTTTGCATGAATTGGGCATAAAATGTGCTCTGAACGTCATCTAAGTCACAACAATAGAAGAACACAGTCTGCTGAACATAATACTACACAAACATTAGATGTTGCCATGGTTTAATTGCACATAACATGTAAACATTCACAGTGCAGGGAGGAAAAAGTATGTGAGGCCCTAGCTTAATGACTTCTCCCAGAGCTAATTGGAGCCAGGAGTGAGCCAACCTTGACTCCAATCAGTGTGATGATATTGGATGTGTTGCTGACAGCTGTCCTGCCCTTAAAAAAACACACCTGTTTTGGGTTTACTGGTTTCAAGAAGCACTGTCTGATGTGAACCATGCCTCGCAGAAAAGAGCTCTCAGGAGACCTACGATCAAGAATTGTTGACTTGCATGAAGCTGGAAAGGGTTACAAAAGTATCTCCAAAAGCCTTGATGTTCATGTGTCCACGGTAAGACAGACTGTCTACAAATGGAGAAAGTTTAGCACTGTTGCTTCTCTCCCTAGGCGTGGTCGTCCTGTAAAAATGACTGCAAGAGCACAGCGCAGAATGCTGCATGAGGTAAAGAAGAATCCCAGAGTGTCAGCTAAAGACCTACAGAAATCTCTGGCACATGCTAACATTTTTGTTGACACATGTACAATAAGGAAAACAATAAACAAGAATGGAGTACATGGGAGGACACCACGGAGGAAGCCATTGCTGTCCAAAAAGAATATTGCAGCACGTTTGAAGTTTGAAAAAAGAGCACCTGGATGTTCCACAGCACTACTGGCAAAATATACTGTGGACAGATGAAACTAAGATTGAGTTGTTTGGGAAGAACACACAACACTATGTGTGGAGAAAAAAAGGCACAGCACACCAACATCAAAACCTCACCCCCACTGTAAAACATGGCGGAGGGAGCATCATGGCTTGGGGCTGCTTTGCTGCCTCAGGGCCTGGACGGATTGTTGTCATTGATGGGAAAATGAATTCCAGAGTTTATCAAGACATTTTGCAGGAAAACGTACGACCATCTGTCCACCAACTGAAGCTCCGCAGAGGATGGGTGATGCAACAGGACAATGACCGAAAGCATACAAGTAATTCAACAAAACAATGGCTGCAACAGCACAGAATACGCCTTCTGGAGTGGCCCAGTCAGAGTCCAGACCTCAACCCGATTGAAATGCTGAGGCATGACCTTAAGAGAGCGATTCACACCAGACATCCCAAGAATATTGCTACACTGAAACAGTTTTGTGAAGAGGAGTGGTCCAAAATTACTCCAGATCGTTGTGCAGGTCTGATCTGCAACTACAGGAAACGTTTGGTTGAGGTTATTGCTGCCAAAGGAGGGTCAACCAGTTATTAAGTCCAAAGGTTCACATACTTTTTCCTCCCTGCACTGTGAATGTTTACATGTTATGTGCAATTAAACCATGGCAACATCTAATGTTTGTGTGTAGTATTATGTTCAGCAGACTGTGTTCTTCTATTGTTGTGACTTAGATGACGTTCAGAGCACATTTTATGCCCAATTCATGCAAAACTCCACGTAATCCCAAGGGGTTCACATACTTTTTCTTGGAACTGTACATCTCTATAACTGATCCAGTTGTGGCATGAAAAATGTAACTTACTGCCTCAGAAGAACTGACAGACAGTGATTTGATCCAAATTACATCTTGCAGATCATAGGAAGCTTTAATTGAAAACTTGTGCAGATCGTTACAGAGGAACATCAGATAAATAAAAAAAAAATATATAGTATGTCTAGCTTCAGGAATTGCATGTTCTTATAACAGAAACTAAAGAAACACTGCAAAAAGAATGGGACTAGGCATACAGAGCTTTTCCACACTACAGAGTGAGGAAGGGACAAATTTATATATGTTATAAGTGCATATATTTTATTCAGTTAAGTAAAAAGCAGTACTTTTCACTATATAGGGCCTTCTTTCTCTTTCTGCTGCATGGCGTTTGGCAACTTGAAACTTTAGTCAGAAAATTAAGTCCTGCTATAACACTTCTGGCTAGCCCCTTTTGCGGGTATAGCTATGTAAACACATTAAAAATAAGCACTTATACTGCTTAACATCTAGTAATACACTGTCTCACTCTTCTCTTCACATGCTCCATTGCTCTCTTTTTTTGTACCTAAAATCAGAGCTACTAGAGGCCATTCTACTGACATTCTAAAGATTTACTTCTGCTCAGGGGCTCTGGGCTTCCGTAGGATGGAAGCCTCCACCAAGAAGAAACAGGAGCGATGCTGGAAACAATTTACAGCACACACTACTTTTAGTATAATTATCAATGTGTATGTTGCTTGCTAAAGAGTAAAGTGGTTCTAAACCCAGGACCCTGCATTCACTATATCTGGTCTCCCACAGTGCACAGAACATGGAAATGAAATTATTTTAGTAAATATAAAACTGCTAAATACCTTTTCTCATCAGCAGTTAGAGCAGTCTTCTGACTTCGATCAGTGTCTAGTAGAGCACTGGTTAAAACTTGCAGGAGAAGTTTTCATTCTCCCCTGATTGTCCTATCAGGCTACAGGATCCCTGACCTCTGTCTGGACAGTGCTGAATGGACCTGTGCTAATCACATGCACCCTCCCAAGAAAAAAAAAAAAAAAAGATAAGTTGCCCCCAAGGTTCTGTTCTATCAGCAGATGGGTTGGGGACAGAAGGGGAGGAGCAGAGAAGACAGGATCAAAGAGCCTTTTACACAATGCAGAGGATTAACCCCTTAGGTTCCACAGTGAGTATAACAAGCATGCTTTATTGCATATACATACTGATTTTACTGTTGTGGGTTTAGTAACACTTTAATTTTTTTTAAGTTGTTATGGGTAAAGAGGCTCTGATGCATGGAAGCAGGTTTTAAATTTGGAGCGTTATAGAAAATCACTTGGTAAATCGAGGGGTCAATATCATTCAGTGAGTGTGGTGTGATTCTATATGGTCTTTCCTTGTCTGGTGATATCCTGTCTTGGAGAAAAAAATTCTGAAGCATGTTTTCTATCACCCATGATTCATATGGACTAGAGCTGGCATGGAGCACTGACATAAATGTGAATATTTTAAATTTAGTTATGGATTGTTGTTTTTTTATGTATTTGATTTTGCTGTAATAAGTAATTCACCAATGTAAGTGTATAGGCTGCGCTGTTACCCACTGGGAGAGTGGGGGATGAATTATTTAGCATTTGAGGTGTTTATCACTTTAACACAGTGGCTACCTTTTGTATATTTACAGAATCACTTTTTGATCTTTAAACCCACCTTCCGCCCGCCATATAGTACAATGACGGGCGCAAGGTGGTTCTCTCATTCTGATAGGACGTCATATGACGTCCTTCCATTCTCACCGCGCATGTGCGGCTCAGGGTGCTCGTAGCTCGGCGATCGCCGGTGCGCTGTGTCCCTCGGACACAGCGGATCACGGAAAGAGCCGGAGATGTCATCAGCTCGGTCATGTGATCAGCTGTGTCCAATCACAGCTGTTCACATGTAAACACGGAAATGCCGGTTATCGGCATTTCTCTCCTCTTGAGCTGTCACGCTGACAGCTCGAGAGGAGAGGAGGGCCGGTAATCGGCTTTCCTCGGAGAGGACATGTACACTGATCATCAGGGCACTGATAATCAGTGTGCCCTGATGATCAGTGTGGCCCCAGAAGTGGCACCTGTCAGTGTCCATCAGTGCCAGCAGTCAGTGCTCATCAGTGCCACGTGCCAGTGTCCATCAATGCCACATCAATGCCACATATCAGCGCATACCAGTGCACATCAATGCCACATATCAGTGCCCATCTGAGCTGCCTTTCAATGTCACCCATCAGTGCCAATCAGTGCCACCTATCAGTGCTGCCAATCAGTGCCACCTATCAGTGCCAGTCAGTGTCGCCTATCAGTGTGCATCAGTGCTGCCTATCAGTGCCAGTCAGTGCCGCCTATCAGTGCCAGTCAGTGCCGCCTGACAGTGCCAGTCAGTGCTGCCTAACAGTGCCAATCAATGCCACCTATCAGTGCCTTATATCAGTGTCATGTATCAGTGATGCCTGCCAATGCCCATCAGTGCCGCCTATCAGTGCCCATCAGTGCCACCTATCAGTGCCTCCTCATCAGTGCCCATCGTGCCACCTATCAGTGTCCATCAGTGCAGCCTATCAGTGCCCATCACTGCAGCCTCATTAGCGCACATCAGTGAAGGAGAGAAAAATCACTTATTTACAAAATTGCATAACAAAAACTAAGAAAAAAACAAACCCTCCCCCCCCCCCCCCCCCCCCCCCCCCAACACCCAGCAGATAAAATATGTTAAAAAAAATCAAATAGAAAAAAATGAAAACCAGTTCATTGTTGGGGTTTACATATATGTATTTTTATAAAGCATGCTAATATTCTGCATAAAAGTTTTGATTGGAAGACCACTTTACTATGCCTTGAGTATAACAAACAGGCACAACTTTTTTTCAGTTGAAAACAGGGAAAAGGGATTAGAATTGCTAGATTTTTGTTGCTGTCTGTGCCTGCGTTAGGGAGATTCACCCTCTCTATTTGTACTGTTTACCATTATCATGAAAGTGAAATTAAAAGAAAATACCACATTTTGGGTTGTCCCCAAAAAGCCAGAGAGGGGAAACCTTTCAATAGGGACACTAGTTCGGGTGACCTGGGGGGGCTCCAATGGATTCCCTAATTTGCAGGAAATTCCTCTCACTTTCTGTTTTGGGTATGGGACAGGGAAGTGAAGGGAAATCTCCTCAACGGTAACAGATGGCAAAAAAAACGTACAGGGGTTATAACTCTCCATTACTCTATCCAAAGTGAAAAAAGGCCTATACTGTAGTTCTACATTAAGGGCTATTTAGTACAATTTATTGTAAACATTTCCTGAAAGAGAAAAACCTGGGCAGTCAAACTTAACCTTCTTCTGAAAATTCTAGTTGTTTGGCTATTCTGATGACCAAAATGACTTAAAGTCTTTGTGAGCCATTGACATAAAACAAATATGTATATTATCAAAGTCAGAGTAATGTCAGAATTCCCTGCTTGCATATGTATCCAGGTTAGCCACTTAAATATCTGAAGCATTAGGTTTACCATGAAAGCAGATATTTTTGCATTTACAGAAGTAGGTAATGTCTCTATATGTTTGCATCATGAAAGATTTCCTTTAAGTACTAATGCAGCTTATCGGAAAAATTTCGATTCGTGCCGAATCCGAAAAAACAGCCTAATTCGGACGCGCGAATCGAAATTTTTCCGAAAATGGCGGCTGACATGTGCGGCGACGGAGCGGGGATGTCGGGGAAGGCGCGCAGACAAGGCGCGCTGCCCCATAATGCATTCCTCAACGACATGTGATCGCATCAGCCAATCAGCAGCCAGCCAGCCAGCACTGTGTAATGGTCGAGGTATATATAGCGGCCATTTTGGAAATCTTCATTTGCCTGCAGTCATTGAACAGAGGCAGACCGCTCTGTACTAGGGACAGGGACAGAGTTAGTTAGGGCCACAGAAACGAGAATTGGGGACAGAGAGAAGTTACTTAGGGACAGAGAACCATTACTCAGGGACACAGACTTGTTAATGAGGGCCACAGAATCGTTATTTAGGGACAAAGAAACGCTAGTTAGGGCCACAGAATTCATACTCAGGGACAGACAGAATTGTTACTCAGTGCCAGAGAATTGTTACTTAGGGCCACAGAAACGTTATTAGGGCCACAGAATTTTTACTCAGGGACAGACAGAATTGTTACTGAGTGCCAGAGAATTGTTACTCAGGGAGACAGACAGAATTGTTACTGAGTGCCAGAGAATTCTTACTCAGGGCCACAGAATTCATTCTCAGGGACAGACAGAATTGTTACTCAGGGACAGACAGAATTGTTACTGAGTGCCAGAGAATTGTTACTCAGGGACAGACAGAATTGTTACTGAGTGCCAGAGAATTGTTACTCAGGGACAGACAGAATTGTTACTGAGTGCCAGAGAATTGTTACTCAGGGACAGACAGACAGAATTGTTACTGAGTGCCAGAGAATTGTTACTCAGGGACAGACAGAATTGTTACTGAGTGCCAGAGAATTGTTACTCAGCACAGACACAAAATTGTTACTTGCACAGACACAGAATTGTTACTCGCACAGACACAGAATTGTTACTCAGGGCCACAGAATTGTCATACTCAGGGACAGACAGAATTGTTACTGAGTGCCAGAGAATTGTTACTCAGGGACACAGACAGAATTGTTACTGAGGGCCAGACAGAATTGTTACTCAGGGACAGACAGACAGAAATTGTTACTGAGTGCCAGAGAATTGTTACTCAGGGACAGACAGAATTGTTACTGAGTGCCAGAGAATTGTTACTCAGGGACAGACAGAAATTGTTACTGAGTGCCAGAGAATTGTTACTCGCACAGACACAAAATTGTTACTTGCACAGACAGAAATTGTTACTCGCACAGACACAGAATTGTTACTCAGGGCCACAGAATTTGTACTCAGGGACAGACAGAATTGTTACTGAGTGCCAGAGAATTGTTACTCAGGGACAGACAGAATTGTTACTGAGTGCCAGAGAATTGTTACTCAGGGACAGACAGAATTGTTACTGAGTGCACAGACACAGAATTGTTACTCGCACAGACACAAATTGTTACTCAGGGCCACAGAATTGTTACTCAGGGACAGACAGAATTGTTACTGAGTGCCAGAGAATTGTTTACTCAGGGCCAGACAGAATTGTTACTCAGGGACAGACAGAATTGTTACTCAGGGACAGACAGAATTGTTACTGAGTGCCAGACAGAATTGTTACTCAGGGCAGACAGAATTGTTACTCAGGGACAGCAGAGAATTGTTACTCAGGGACAGACAGAATTGTTACTGAGTGCCAGAGAATTGTTACTCAGACACACAGAATTGTTACTGAGTGCACAGACACAGAATTGTTACTTGCAGACACAGAGAATTGTTACTCAGGGACAGACAGAATTGTTACTGAGTGCCACAGAATTCATACTCAGGGACAGACAGAATTGTTACTGAGTGCCAGAGAATTGTTACTCAGGGACAGACAGAATTGTTACTGAGTGCCAGAGAATTGTTACTCACAGACACAAAATTGTTACTTGCACAGACACAGAATTGTTACTCGCACAGACACAAATTGTTACTCAGGGCCAGAAGAATTGTTACTCAGGGACAGACAGAATTGTTACTGAGTGCCAGAGAATTGTTACTCAGGGACACAGAATTTACTCAGTGCCAGAGAATTGTTACTCAGGGACAGACAGAATTGTTACTGAGTGCCAGAGAATTGTTACTCAGGGACAGACAGAATTGTTACTGAGTGCCAGAGAATTGTTACTCAGGGACAGACAGAATTGTTACTGAGTGCCAGAGAATTGTTACTCGCACAGACACAAAATTGTTACTTGCACAGACACAGAATTGTTACTCAGCACAGACACAGAATTGTTACTCAGGGCCAGAGAATTGTTACTCAGGGACAGACAGAATTGTTACTGAGTGCCAGAGAATTGTTACTCAGGGACAGACAGAAATGTTACTGAGTGCCAGAGAATTGTTACTCACAGGGACAGACAGAATTGTTACTTGCACAGACACAGAATTGTTACTCGCACAGACACAATTGTTACTGACAGCAGGGCCACAGAATTGTTACTCAGGGACAGACAGAATTGTTACTGAGTGCCAGAGAATTGTTACTCAGGGACAGACAGAATTGTTACTGAGTGCCAGACAGAATTGTTACTGAGTGCTTGTTAGGGACAGACAGAAATTGTTACTGAGTGCACAGAATTGTTACTCAGGGACAGACACAGAATTGTTACTCAGGCCAGAGAATTGTTACTCAGGGACAGACAGAATTGTTACTGAGTGCCAGAGAATTGTTACTCAGGGACAGACAGAATTGTTACTGAGTGCCACAGAATTGTTACTCAGCACAGACAGAAGAATTGTTACTGAGTGCCAGAGAATTGTTACTCAGGGACAGGTTACTGAGACAGACAGAATTGTTACTGAGTGCCAGACAATTGTTACTCAGGGCCAGAGAATTGTTACTCAGGGACAGACAGAATTGTTACTGAGTGCCAGAGAATGTTACTCGCACAGACACAAAATTGTTACTTGAGTGCACAGAATTGTTACTCGCACAGACACAGAATTGTTACTCAGGGCCAGAGAATTGTTACTCAGGGACAGACAGAATTGTTACTGAGTGCCAGAGAGAAATTGTTACTCAGGGTTACAGACAGACAGAATTGTTACTGAGTGCCAGAGAATTGTTACTCAGGGACAGACAGAATTGTTACTGAGTGCCAGAGAATTGTTACTCGCACAGACACAAAATTGTTACTTGCACAGACACAGAATTGTTACTCGCACAGACACAGAATTGTTACTCGCACAGACACAGAATTGTTACTCAGGGCCACAGAATTCATACTCAGGGACAGACAGAATTGTTACTGAGTGCCAGAGAATTGTTACTCAGGGACACCTAATCGTTGAATTAAAATAGTATGTCAGACAACATGCAGAGGAGTGGCAGAGGAGGCAATGTTTTAGGAGCGAGCAGACGTGGCAGCAGAGGAAGGGGGGGTCGAGGCAGCAGTATTCGCAGCCAGAGGCCAGTGCTCCCGGTGTCATCCAGCGGTCGTGTCTCCACCGACAACCCTGCCGTCATTGATTGGTTGGCTCGGTCGTCTTCCTCTTCCCAGGTCACCTCTGACACCTACAGCCAACGGTCGGTGGGTACGTCAGACACAACCGTTAGTTGGCATGGCCCGGGACCAAGCCCACTGAAATCACGTGTCCTCTACCTGC